TCGAGAAGATATCTTTTTACATAAAAAAGTTTTCCACATAAGGACTTGATATTAATCGACCTCAGGTAGTGGTACAATAACATCAGTTCCGAGAAATGAGAAGCTACTTGAGGAGAAAAGGAAGTATGCAAAATTTCAGATGGATATCTCAAAAACTGAAGTACCAGTTCTCACATATAAACACAGACTGACAGAGTGACAGGCGGAAATGCATCAACCGACTCAGATCGTCACGTTGAACATATATATTGTATATATGTATATATAATTTACAGTATTTCCGACAGTTCTCTTTGAGTGTTACAAACTTCTTGGAAACTTAATATACGCTGTTCAGTGTATAAAAAAATCGACTGTGCGACTGGTTTCTTGAAGCTTGAAAAATAATGTATGGCCTCAAGAGGAATGTCCGCACACACTTTCAAATTAAATAATAATTCACTAAAAAAATCTGCATTTGCGCACAATGGCATTCAACATTTTCTAATTAAAATCTAACAAAAATTAATTAATTATTTTAACCGTCTCAGCAAATAAATTTATTACGACCATGCTAGTATAGTACTATATCCATATACTAAAGCAATATAAATATTGACATGAACCAACTGAAACCAAACTTAGGCCATTAAAGACAAGCAGAGCTAAGAGCAATAACAAGTGTGCTTTGCTGATTTACCAATAACACGAGTGCCAACAACAACTGCAAAGCGAATTTCACAAAATTTCTTCAACTTGAAAATGTCAAAATGCTATAACTATGAAAACTCAAATGAAATTACTTATTGTCGAACGGAAATCTGACTGTGCTTTCGTTATTGTTGTTGTTTCGTTTATTACTGTTATTCTTTAATAGGTAATACAAATTGTCTAGGTGCTTTTAGCCTGATTGACGTTGGCACTGCCAGTCAAGTAGGTTGATTGGCTGCCTACTATGGCTTCGACGAAGAACATTCAAAATTATTGACCAAAAGCTTAAAATATTTATGTACAAGTATTGGTGGTATATATGTAAATACATAGTATATATAGGTATGAGTGCATAGTACACACTTGAGACTGTAGATAAGAGTGAAGGTCGCCTGTGGTTAATCGCAGCTATAATTTGCCAAAGCCATAACAATCACAGCTTGAAAAGTGCTTCAGAGATTGTTCGATAATAATAATAATAATAGACACTGAAGTGGGGTAGGGTGTTCGAAGAGTGTACCAGTGGTTTGAGGCATCACAGTAACAATAATAATAAAAAGAACAATGTTAGCGAAAACTTGGACGCTACTGAGCTTAAATTACTAACATATATTAGTATATGTGTGTATTTACAAACAAATCGTAGTGTTTCTTAGCTATTAAGGGGGGGGGGGGGGGGGGGGTAGATAGTGTTAGAACAAGGTTTTTGTAACCTGAACAAGGTATATTAAGTTAACCACGAAATTTCTAAAGCGTTGGTGATCATATTAAGTATATTACATATAAAAATGATCAGCATGCCGAGCTGTGTAGATTTATCCACGTCTATCTATATGTAGATGAACTAGTGGATCAGTTTCTGAGATATCGATCTGATAGTTTGCACACCGCCCTTCTCCACAATAAGCTACTTGTTATTTGGAACCGCCGATATCAGACCACTATAAGATGTACTGGCATACAACTGACTGAAATCAAGTTCTTCTCTGAAAAACTTTTTGTTTGACGAGATATCTTCACTAAATTTGGCAAAGATTATTTTCAAAGATAACGCTATAATCATGTATATACACATATAACTATCATACAAACTGTTCGAATAAAATGAAGTTCTTGCATGGAACACTTTCTTATTAGACATTATATCTCGATTTTTTAAAAAATTCTCCCTTAAAGGTGAATCGATTTGTGTTTGTTGGTTTATAAACAGGTATTTTGTAGTTTAGTAACGGAATTTTCGGGCTTCAATGAGTTTAAATTTTTGGTATACACATGTACGATAGGGTGGAGCGAAAAATAATATTTTTTTTTTGCCTAGCCGGAGGGTAAACTTTGTAGATTATAAAAAAAGAAAATTTTTGGCTAAAAAAAATTTTTTTCGGTTTCAACGCTTCACATTTATATAAAAATTACCGAATTTAACGGTTTTTGACTCAAATTTTATTTTAACGCTTAAGGAAAACATGTTGTAGTTTAAGACTTTTTTTGCAAACTCCAATAATCCCAGAACAGTTATCAACAATTTTTACGAAATAAAAATTTTAACTCGAAATATATTTGATGATAGAAAAGTGAGATGTTAAAAAAATTATTTTCCAAAAATTTTTCCCTTTTTATAACCTACAAATTTTACCCCAGGCTAAGCAAACAAAAAATTTTTTTTCGCTCCACCCTAATGTACAACAATAAACAACAACAAAATATAAATGTTAGCACTGGAAAGAAATATTGTTTGCAGTTATGTTAACCTTGTAAATTTGTAAATGAGTAGTCATAAATACGAATAGCTTTGCTCCGTTTTGTAACGGAAGTGCAACGCCCAATTGTTAGTTTCGTGTTGTTTCCGTTCGTTGTCGTTGCTCGACACCAGGCTTGGCGAGCAAAATGTTGTTATTACTTAACTGCTATTGTACACAGTTATAAATGAGCGTCCAGCCCAAATCGCACCTCAGCTGTCAGTTTATCACACACAGCCACACATACACTTATAAGCGCAGACTCGTGCGCTGTATTTGCATATATATATATATGTGTGTGTGTGTGTTTGTTTGTGTATGTAAAATCATGTCTATTCGCTCATGAATATGTGTACAGCTTGTGCATTTAGCTTACATTTTAGCTTGATTACCAACATATTTTCGCAGTTTACAGTTTTCCTTAACCTTTGACGGACTTCGTTGGCTTATCATTTCCACTGACAATGTTTCTGAGAAGCTTAGCATGATTGCGCTGCAACATTTTACCTTAAAAGCATTTGCATATGCTATTTTATTAAGCGTACTCCATGCCATCAGTTATTCCGTTGAGCTAAGCAAATATGTATGCATATATTATTTGAGCATGCCAGTAGGAAAAAATTACAAAATCAAATTTTTGTTGTTTAAAATAAAAACAATATAATTTTTAATAGTAGTTTAAATTTATTTCTTATTACTTCTACCAATTCTGAAAATTTTGTAAAATAAAAATATTTTGAAAAATTTAAATTTGAAAACTCCATTCTGAGCACTTAATATAGCTTCATAGATAGCTCAGTTGAAACCAAATGCAATTCTGAAAATTTTATAAAACATAATATAAGTATTTTTAAAATTTTTTAAAATGTTCTATTTCCTACATGGCATTTGAGAAAGCGCACTGGTCAGTTGAAACCAAATGTAGAAAAGACTTACTTCCACTAAGAGATTGCATAAAATCATGCACTACACTTACACTTCCACTTTTAGAAAGTGAATTTTATATTTGAGCGTACGTATACAAATGCATTTGCTTATAAATATTTAAAAAGTCAGCAGCTTTTTACTTATTTCGCACAAGTTTGTCGGAAAATGCATACCTACGAGCGTTAAGTAAATGTATATACACGATTTTGCGAATTGAGCCTAACTTGGCAACCATAGATGTGCATATGCTTGTGTGTATGTATGTATGTTACATTAGATGAATTATTTAAGTCAAATATTACTCATACGCAGTAGTGTGCATGTAGTTGTACACGTAATATAGAGCTGATTGACTATAGCTTTTAAAAATAAAATGGAAAATAAATTTGTATGCAGATTACTAATAATAATATTAGTTCAATGCATAAACCTCTTTTTTATCACTTTTTAACAAGCACTAAACTCTATAAATACCATATTATTATACAATGTAACAGTTAGATAGATGACCAGCCTCATGACAGACACAGTTTCTGGTGTATATTCTAGTAAAGAGTCCTTGAGAGAGATTTCTATAATAAGTGCTGACATCTACTTAACTACTTAAGTTGACAAATGGCCACCACTGTCCAGCTTTAGAAACATTTTTGGAGTCAAACCTGCGGCGAACCAGGAGGCATAGCCGTAACTGACATTAGTAGCCTTAACAAATTTCTGACAGGTTCAAAGCACTTCGTCGATTTATGAGGGTCTTTTGATTAACACAACAGAACAGCGGATTTAAGCTTTGCATCAATAGGTTTGACATATGGCGGAGTTGTAAAAAACTGTTTTCATTTTTTACCCATAGAATTTGCTTTAAATTATTTATTAAAAAAATTTGCAATAATAACAAAAATACGTATCTTAGTAGAAATTCCGAGTGGTTACGTACGGTTTTCTCTAAGAACCATCGTAGTTTGATTTGATTAATGCAGTCTCGAGCAGAGTTTAGCGATCTTTTTTTCAGACTGTCACACTTGATGTGCCATTTAGTTGCCGAATTTTTTTTAGAACCCTTCATTACATTGTACTTTAAGCCAAAAATCGAGTTTTCAAAATTCCAGACTGGCCTAACCCCTTCAGAGCAAAAATATATTCGCTCGGGCATCGCTTATTTAACGATCTGGTTACCATAAATTTAGACAGGGGTAGTCAACGATTTATCATCAGTGGCAGTGGCAGTTAAATGTCTGCGCTAAAGCTTCGATTTCAGAAAAAAACTTATACCCCATGCTACACGAAAAAATTTTCTTGATTTGCTTAAATTCTTATGAATAAATAATTTCTTACTGAATAAACAATTGTCCATTTATTAATACTATGATTATTTTTTATGCCAAAAAATGGCACTGTTGTCATGATTCTAATAATGATTTGATATTTTAGTCGAAGGCGCTAAAAATGTGGCATAAAATCACCACAAATTACAAAATTATATAGATAAAAACATGCGATAGACATACCAGTATATAATATACTGTGTATGTACACAACGAATATTTATATACATACGCGTATATATTTCTTACCAATAATAACCACAACATTTCATTAAAAACGTGACCCAATATTTATCTATACAATTTCTTCTCCTCTTTCTTTCAGATACACCGACATATATAGCTGCTAGCATATATACACCTCGATATATATTGATATATTGTTTTGAATGTCCTCATTAAGTGCTACCCACATTGATAAGCTGCCAAAAATTAGAATACGCTCCGTTGTGATAAATAAATGTGAAAAAAGTGCGAAAACGATTTAGTATGAGTAGTTGACTGACAGCACATTGTACGTACAGACGTCTATATACACACATATATATAGGTATATATATTGATACGAGTGCTAGAAGCTAGAAGAACTCAATAAGCTGTGATTAAAGGAACAAAAGACATGAGGAGTGGCCGCTGCTCAACACAAATAAGTAGTTGCAAAGTGGATAATACCATTATTACACCTGTGTATTTGGGTGGTGGAAACGCTTTTGAATTGGAATACTAATACAGTTGCAAATATTTGATTTGCATCAATATTGAAGCAGTAGACTTAGCAAAGTTAAAAAATTCAATTCATTTGAAATTGTGAGACTATAATAACAAAATTGATGCAATGTAGCGGTAAGTTGTATTTTAATGTAATTTTTATATGAATTTGTTATTAATTTTTTAAATCTTGAATGATCACATTTTCTACATATACATTTTCAATAAAATATCTTAGATCTTTTTCACTTTTTTCCTACAAGGAGATAACCCTTACATCCATTTACGACATATCTTTTTTCAAAATCTGCAACAGATCTAAAGCCTGAAAATAATTTTTCAAACCGGTAATGTGAAATATCTCCTCAAAACAAGAAAACACTTTAAGAATCGAAGATATGAAACTCTTCGCAGGTGTATTTTTTATAGCATAAAACCATATTCCTTTATCTTGATTTTGATCGATCAGTTTGTATGGCAGCTATATGCTGTCGTGATCTGATCTTAACAATATGTTGGGAGACTGTAGCATTCTCTTGGTCACAATGCGCGCTGTTATTTCGTCGCTATTTTAACGACAACATAACGATAGAGTGTACTTGTGATGTAAGCTAGTGCAATTGTGCTGTGAAATGCCAAGCATTGGTATAAAGCTTACTGTTGATCGTTTCCAGTGGGCATGGTATTAACTCCACCTCGGATTCGTCTATAGACTAACTATTGTGACTTGGCCAACTCATCTGCTTTTTCTTATCCGTGTATGTGGTAGCTTTCCGTATCCTCCCGTAGTTATCCAATAGAGCTCAACAGGACATGATTATGCCTAGTAATTGGAGGACGCTGGCTGAGTTTATAGACGGCTAGAGGGAGATGTCAAAACCAATGGAATATATCCCCGTCCGTACACCGCAGTAGAGATATTAAATTCCTCCCCTACTAAACCCCTTCCTGACCTGGATGTGACTATCGAAATCCAATTTAGGATGGATATAGTCTGATTCATTTGAATTTATGAGCTGGTTTGGTATCGCTAGCAACCTCTATGTATTTTGCTGCCAGGAGACGGAGAAATTGTTGTACGGACCTCTGAGCGAGGGAAAATAATTATGAGTAATTTTGGGTTTTCTCGCGCTTTTGGGTACTTTTATCGCTGATGCAAGGAAACAGCCCCGATGAAAATTACACATAGATTTCGACCGTGCACAAGATCCAGTAAAGAAACATATGACTATGGATTTTCTATCTCCCCGAGAACTTAATATCATCAATAGCAGTGTGTTGTGTCTCCATGGTCTACATATATTTTCATAATAGTGTTATGGTTCCCAGATTATACTCATACTAATCCACCTTGACTTTAACTAAACTAAAGGAGTTTTTAGAAAATCCTTTCCGTCTTTTACTCTAACCAGATCATCCCAAATCCCCGTTCCTTTGATCAATGCCTTTCGAACCAAAGTATTTCATGGGCCATGATACCTCCAATATTCATCCTCTTAGCTGAAACAGCAGGGCTTATTGTACATGCATACATTTTATTACATCAGATCAGAACTTTATGATTATACTATATTCTTGATTTCCTTACAGTGGCGGACTTATGGTCGGCGAACGCGATAGAGACCGTGATACGGTACGCTGGGAAACGGGTGATGCAACACCGCCCCAATTTAATAATGGAGGTATGCAAATGGTCGGACAATTGCATGGTGGACAGGCTGCTAGCCAACAACAACAACAACAGCAAAAACAGCAACAATCTCAACGTGATCTACAGCTACAACAACAACAATTGCAACTGCAGCAGCAGCAACAACAATTATTGCAACAGCAACAACAACAACAGACCAGTAACTGGATTGAAGCCGAAACGCTTGGTCGCAACCCGGCAACTGGATCAACCGGTGCCATTGGCAACATCGGTCACATCCAAGCGCAAGGTTACGGCATCGGTGTCGGCATCGGCATCGGGCTCGACGTCACACACGAACCGAGCGACAACAACGATAATCAAGCCTACTACGATCCAAGCGGTAATGTCGATTGGGGCCGAGCGATGGGAACCGGTGGAGCTAGTTCATTTGGTTGCGGCACTGGAGCTGTCCCAACAACTGGCAATCTTGCTTATAACAATGACACAACTGCTGCGACAGCCGGCGTCAATATCAGTCAACGCAATCTCAACAATATCGCCGGCGGCGGAGGTGGAGGTGGCGGCAGTATTGGAAACTTGGACTATGCTGATGGCGGCAGCATTACTGGCGCATCCGCCACAACCACGCACACTGCCGGCGGTCCTATGGGCAATGGCGGTATCGGCGGTGTCGGTGGCATGGTCGGCGGTGGTAGTCAAAATATCGTCGGCATTGGCGGTGCCAGCACCGGTGCTGGCAGTACCGGCGCTGTTGGCAAAGAAGTACGATATGCACCATTCCCGATACCATCACCGACGCATTCGAATCCGACAACTTCCCATCTGCACGGCAGCATGGGTGCGGGCGCATTGCAGCGCGCACATTCCAGATCCATGTCCTCCATACCGCCACCCGAACCCTTTATGATAGCGCAATCGAAGCAAGTTAATAGTCGCGTCTCCATCAATGTTGGTGGCGTTAAGCATGAGGTGCTCTGGCGTACGCTCGAACGACTGCCGCATACACGTTTAGGACGTCTACGTGAATGTACCACACACGAGGCGATCATTGAGCTATGCGATGATTATTCAATCGTCGACAACGAGTACTTCTTCGATCGGCATCCGAAAAGTTTCAGTTCCATATTAAATTTCTATCGCACTGGTAAATTGCACATCGTCGACGAGATGTGCGTACTGGCATTTAGTGATGATCTCGAGTACTGGGGAGTTGATGAGCTGTATCTGGAGTCGTGCTGCCAGCACAAGTACCATCAGCGCAAGGAGAACGTACACGAGGAAATGCGCAAAGAGGCTGAATCATTGCGACAACGCGACGAGGAGGAATTCGGCGAAGGCAAATGCGCCGAATATCAAAAGTACTTGTGGGAGCTACTCGAGAAACCGAACACCAGCTTCGCTGCGCGGGTAAGTTAGAAAGCTCTGGTAACAGCGCCAACTTTTTCAAACTACCATGTATTTAAATATATATTTTGAAATCTACGTATGTATATCTCTTCTGACCAAATAATAACCGAATAATATTTAACTACAACTTTAGTAGGTCCCTTTCGGAAGCGAAAATGTTTTTGTTGTTGTCAGTAAATTTCTTAAACTCTATTATTAGTAATTCTTATTGCTATTTTGTTAATATTATATTAAGTTTATTTCTTATATAATGGTTTTTTGTTCATTAAGTTTCTAATTTTTTTAATTGTATTGGGTTCCACATAACTTTTAATCAAAGTCATCACAATAATTTTTCTAAGTACTAAACATTTACTATATATTCACATATACATATATATCATAAGCCACACTCTTAAGCGATACATTTATTTGGGTTTTAACAGAAATTTATGGCCGATATATAACATAAAATTGACTCAAGCTTTTAAGGTTTTGTTAAGGTGTATAAGTAGTATAGTATGGTAATTGTAAAGAAAATCAGAGGGTGGAGTTTAATCTTCCAAAACTATATGCCTGAATTCTGTGATACTGAGAAAAGCCGGACAGTGCTTTTGCTGTGCTGGGATGCTTCCACCTCACTCTCCTCCTTACAATTTTGACAACAAGCATCGGGTAGTATGCAAAACTATACCGCATGAATTCCCATTGTACAGTGCCTTTCGGCCAGAAGGAGCTCGCAATCGCACAGAACTTGGTCGTCAGATTTATGATGTGGTCAAGACGTTTCTTCCCAGTGCGCAGAATAAGATATACCACTGGATTGCTTCAGTAAGGTTTGTCTAATTTAAGGGTTTATCAGTTATCTCTCCCACTGCGCATCCATTACGGATGATTACCAACTCTTCTAAGTGAATAATGTTGGATATATATGGAAGAAGACGTGGTATTTTCTTCTTGACTCTCCCGCTTTTGTAAGGCTAAGGTTGTAACACACTGAGTCTCATACCTTCACCCATCCAAGTAAACTATCTGGAATCGAAATCAATACATTTAGCAGGCTTGTAATGTGCTCAAGATGCTTCGTTAAGGGTTTAACCATCTTTGAAAGTTTCTGGCACCAAAATGCTTTTGCTAGACAATTTCTAAATCTGATCTGGTGTCGGTACCTTTATCTCTAAAATAGCCATCAGATTTGAATCACTTTTATTGATGATATTTTTTTCTCTCTCTTCTCTCTTCTCTTTGATTAAGTTACAATAGTTGCGTTATTGAAAGCTACTGCTCGTAAAGTTTCAAATATACTATGATGTTAACTATAAGAAACTTTCTTATAACTGAACATACTTGTAGTACTCAAATATTGTGGATAATTTTCAAAAAAAAACAGTAAAAGATAATATAAGTCTATATACCATACTCTTCATAAAACCACATGTCAATGTTTTAAAGATATAGACCTTCTGAGCTTCATACTAGTATGAAAAGCTCTTTAAAAGCGATCTAAGTGTGTACTCTCTATAAAAGCTTGAGTCAATATTTAAAACTGAGAAACCTTCTAAACCATACATAATAATGAGCAGCGTTTTGGCTGAAAAAAATAATTTTTCGTGCTAAATAATATAATTTAGAACTTTATTAAATTCTAAATACCTTGAAAATCTTTAATTTTACTTCATTAAAACCGAAGAAAATTAAAAACCAACTAACTAAATCTTATCGCTTAAGACACTAAAACCCACAATGAACGCTGTAAATTACTGCCTCAGTCATCACAGTCGTATAGCCAATCACATATATCACTTTTATCACTTATTTTACTATTATACGCTGCTTTATGACTACAAAAACAACAAAAAAAAGTACAAACAATTATATTAAGTATTCCATGTTTAAGAACGCATTAAACAAGATATACATACATAACTACAATACATGCATACATGTTGAAATTGATGTTTCTCGGCTTTGTTGTGTTTGTTGTGCGATAAATATGGCAAAATCATTATATAACTTACTTTTACTATACAAAAACAAAAAACTAACGATTTGTTAACTTCTTATTGTCATACTCTTCTAACTATCAATGCTGCAAAATACTTGCCACCATTTTGAAAATTGAAAAAAAAACTCGCTAAAAATGCGCGCTGTAAATAAATGCAAACTGTTTATATCAAATATTTAACTATATGAATATACATATACTATACTTGCAAGTACCGTTTTAATGGCCGCTTACATTTCCATTACGAATTTTCAACGTTTAATGTTAGTGACGTAAAAGTTGTAGGACGTCAAAAGCATACATACATACGTTACGTTGGCATATGCGTTGCCATATCTTTTTGTAATGTTCGATATGTGTGTTTTGTTGTTGTTGGGTTTTTCTAACGCCAGCCATTTTTTTAAATACATATATACAATACATATATACATATATCTGAGAGTGTCGTTTACTCGTTGCTTCTGAACTGCTGCTTCATTTGCATTACCGGCTGGAGAGTTTAGCGAAATGTCCATGAGTACGTAATAAATATCTATTTATATATAATAATATATGTATGTGTTGTTTTGAAGTTCTCTTTTGATACATATATAAAGTTTCTACCCGTTTGAATATACAAACCTTGCGTTATTTTTAATGTGCTTCAAGTATTCCCACACACACATTACTGAATAAGTTGCATATTCTTACTTTTGAATCACCGAAGTAATGTAACCTCTTCAAAACATTACCGTTAGAGCGTGAAATGTTATTATGAAGATCGGTATTTGCATATAAATAATTGTATCTGAAGTTTTCTAATTAAATTGCTGCAAAAAAAGTTGCTTGAGGCAAAAACCAAAAATCCATATGTTCTAAACTAACGGCAGCTAACAAGCCTGAAAAGCCTTCGCTTAAAATATTCACAGCTCTGAACCTACAATTTTATGTACATATGATTTTTCATCATCGTATTTTTTCGTATTTTCTGTGTTTGTTTTATGGGTTTTTTTAATAAATGTTAGAAATTATTAAAAAAAAATGTTTATCTTCAATTTCATTATTTTCTGCACAAAAAAAAATATTTCTTTACAAAAGTCTGTATAAAAACAAAATTTTTCTTACATTTATACAAAAAATTTATTTTTTTCAAAATCAATAAAAACATTATTACAAAATTCTCTAAAAAATCTGGTATCCACTTTTCGAAAAAAAAAATTATTTTTCAAAAAAAAAACTAACAATTTTATATAAAAATATTTAAACTAGTTATACAATTGTTTTACAAAAATTTTTATTATTCACTTTTCGAGCAAAAAAAATTAATAAAACTTACCAAAATCTATCAAAAAAAAGTATTATCCTTTTTTCGAAATTAATAATGTTATATAAAAAATATTCTAAAAACAAATTTAATAATATAATTTTTCCTTTTCCAAAATTTATAAAAAATTTATTACAAAAATCTAAAAAAAAAAAAAATATGGTAAACACTTTTTCAAATAGTATATGATTATTATAATTTTTAACTTTTTAAATAATTTTTTTATTTCAAAAATGTCCTAATTAATTTTTATTTCCTAAAAATAAAATATTTTTTTATCCCATTTTCCAAAAAAAAATATTGAATAGTATTTATGTGTTTTTGAAGTACTTCTATTTCTAGGCCGCAAAATTCGTAAACTGTGTATTAATTTTTGTTTTTCACTAGTCAGCCAAGAGATGCAATGTGGAACAATACCAAAATATTGTCAATGTTGAATTAATAGCTAGAAATTGAACAACTAATATATATAAATATATTATATATTGAATTTTTACTAATTACTTTTCTATTAATCCAATTATATACACAGCACATGCGATAAACGTTCAAGTGTTGATGCTTTGCAAAAACAAAAAAGCTAATAATATATCTTACTAAAAAATATATATGAAAAAAAAATACGAACCAATAACTATGTTTGGGAATGGGCAATAAGCGATATGACCAGGCGGCAGGTGTGCTGTAGAAATCCTCGAAATAAATTTTTACACACAAGAACTCTGGGGAGAAGTGGCCAAATACGTGTTGTAATACATTTCCGCTTTATATTATATATATATATATATATTAATGCTAGCCAACCAAGCCAATATACCAACCAATCAACCAACCATGCTTTGCTTGAGTCCACCCGACCATCCACCGACCATTTGTATATAGAAGCAGTTAATATGTTACATATGTAAGCCTATAGGATGTCTCATAGCCTTATAACGCATATTGTACGAGTTCCATTTTAGGTATATCTTCTCAACCATGCGCTCTCAATACATATGTAAATAACTGTCTCCTCTCGCTAAGTCAAACATTTTACTCAAGCGCTTCAAGTAAACCGTCTGCAGCTAGAGCTTAGTATTTTAATTTTATTTTGATTTTCATTTATTTTACAGAAAGCGGAAATAATTACAACACATTTGGGGACATCTCTAACAATTTTTCACACTTTCTATACATTTTTATTTGATTTTTGTCTTAATTTATAAATAAAAAAACGTATGTTTTATTTTTTGCATATTTAGTTAAATGTTTTTAATACTTTCGAAGTAAATGGTGTTTAATTTGGTGTAGATCGTCGTAGTCGTAAAAAATAAGTAAATATATGTTTCGTACATTGTATACTTGATATATGTCTTATATACATATGTGTATCACATGACAGCTCAAATGTAGAAAAATTGTTAGTTTTTACATAGACAGAACTTTAATATGCCATACATTATTCGTATATGACTAAGAAATATAATGATTTAATCTTCCACCGAAGATGCTCAAAGCTTTTCGACTACAAAAAACAGTATTTCGGTACTATTTTTCTTCGTCACTAATTTCCTAAAAAGCTTTTAGTTCTATCTATGTACGAAATATATTTTCTAAAGTTCTTAAAGCAAAATCCGAATTTCGATCGATTTTAAGTGCGACTGTGAACCAAACACATCATGCCAGAAACTGCCCCTAACTTCAAACAAGCTTTTCAGAGATGTGTTTCTGTAA